TAATCAAATAAAACGAAGGAAACTGCCTTTCCGTAGCCAAATGTCTAATGTCTAGGGGCTACTTTTCTGTCTGGAAAATTGACACAAAATGTGTAAAATTGAAACATTCTGTTTCTAAGGGATTTGCCTAAAGGAAGAGTGAGAAAGCTTCAAGCGTGGTCTGAAGTGAAGAACTACAAAGGCTTACCACATAAACCTGTCTTTCTTATTAGAGCATTTCATTTGGAAACATAGGTGACAATTTTACAGTCAGAAAATTAATGAAATCCAAGACTGAGCATTTTAATGATGCATTTTGCGTTCTTCTGGATAGGTAAGGTCACTTTTAGAGTCCAGCAACAGCTTCAAGATTTTTAACAAAACAAATTTCAGCCAAGTTATCTGCACTTTGTACTAAAACAATTTCACGTAGACCCAGAAAGCATTATTCGCACTGCAAGCAGCAGCAATGTTTAGCAACAACATCCTGAAGAATTAAGTCTCCTACTATTATTCAAAAATGAACACTGAGGTTTCTATTGCGCCACTTCAAATCCCAACCAACAAAATTACTATTCCTATTGTGATATCCCTCGTTCTTACAGGGCTGCATTAGCTCAACACTTTGTGGAGAGGGAGGAGGTGACACAGCAGGATTCACACCAAGAACTCCACAAACCAGCCGTGCAGTTTAAAGGAAAAAAAAAATTTTAAAAATTAAAAAAAAAAAAACAAAACAAAACTTGCAAAGGAATCACACAAAACTCTTAGAGAATAATCCAAGATTTATTTACTAATCTTACTGTGGTTTTGCACTTACTGGCACTTTTAATTTGGCAATGGCAGTGAGGTTCTGCACGATCAGTTTAGACAATATTGTATCAGAATTAAGTTCTTCTAACAGAAAGAAGTCTGAGACAATTACCTTGAGGGATTTCTGTTTCCCTATATCAACAATACAGAGACTTTGAACAAAACATTCTGATTTGGGAGAAAATTCTGGTGTGTAAATATAATGTAAAAAAAAAAAAGAATTGTAAGACACACTGAAGAATTTTATATATACAAGTACATATTCACTTTCAAACTGTCCAATTTAAGGCAGAACCACATGGATGCAAATTGAGAGATCATATCCTTTAATTAGTGCTTCAGACAAAAAATAAAATTATAGAGAGAAGTCCTTTAAACCATAAAACTTTAATCTTACAAGCAGCTTTAAGCTGTTGGTGTAAAACTTGAGGACAAGCAGCCTCCTCTTCTGTTTTCAGTTAATCCCATTCAGCAGCTCAAACCTGATGCTGCCATCCACAAAAGACATTTACAAGAGAAAAGTTGTGTCCTGTTCCCCAGTCATCAATCTACCTAAATTTCTGTTATTTCCTTCTCACTACTTCAACTGGCATGTTCCTGCTCTTCTTTTTAGAGATTCTCACTTCGGTTTTAGTTACTTAGAGCCATTTGCTATCATTTTTTCTGTATTTGACTATTTCTACTTGTCTTTGTTAAAGTCTCAGTCAGCAAGGTTAATATATTCCTCCTGTCCGAGGTGATACACATATATGTTCACATGAAGACACAGACACTGTACTTAAACACAGATGCAGGTGTACATTATATAAAAGTCTATGAATATCATGTACATATCTGTGACAGACAACTACTCTGAATTACTCATACATCAGAGACATTATGTGTAAATACACAGTGAATATAATTTTATGCTATTTTGCTATATGGAAGAGACCAAGTGTGAATATGCATACACACTCTATAAAGACAGCATTCATTTGCTAAGATTTCTTTGGTTTTGGTTAAGATTAACAAGCACGTACAAGGGAGAGCCAGATAAAAATGCCAAAATAAATCTGGTAGCAAGTCTTCTTTCACTTGGTCACTTGTAAAGAATCTTGGGCTTCAGAGCAGAAACCAGACTGGATAGCAGAAGGTCCGATGGAAATACTAACGTGTTCGTTCTGTCTGAGCTAAACGCACCAAACACACAAACTGGAGAGAAATAGGCTACTAAAGTAGAGGTGCAATGTCATGGAGCTAGTGCTGTTAGACATTCAGCTATGCATTGTAAATTAGAAATTGTCACAATAAAAGCAATAAAGGCAACGCTTTGATTATGGTTGGAAAAAAATTATAGCCTGTCACTTTTCATTTTCCTAGTCATTTTTACCAAGCAACAGGCCACCGACTAATCTTTAGCTGCTGTATGTCTGTGGGGAAATGTTAAAAGAAATACCCAAGTTTACAGCAGCTGAGAATTTGTGTCCTCTGCTTTGCAGCACTACATACAGTACTTACATCTGCGTATTTCGGTGTGCGTAATGGATGAAAAATTTGTTATTACAGCACTAAAAAGCCAGCCAGACAATGTTAGGAATACAAGTTAAAAAAAAATTTGTTTCTAGCTTGGTGAGGGAAGAAAAGATTCGCTCAGAGAAAAGAGCTAGAAGCAGATACTTACAGTCTCATTCTGGGCCTTAACATGATATATCAACAAAAGATATCACAGAGAAAAGGGTTAAGTATTTATACTCTAAAATCCTAAGAATTAAACCTTTCTGAAGCACTATTAAAGTACTGTCAGGATCACAGAAAGCAAATCAATTTCCAGAATATTTTCCTTTTCCTACCATATTTTCATTGTATGGTAGCAATTACTACTTTTTTGCAGTATTTATAGCAAAGATATGTTTTTAAATCACTTGCCCAAAAATATCCAGTGTAGTGGCTCTCAGTATTATTTTGTAATCTCTTTAAAAGCTCACAAAAGTCTTGATGTGATATTTCCAGCACTACTCCACAAGTTTTTATGTTGCCCAGTCTTTTTTTCCCCCCTCTTCTGCACGTTCTTTTACGGATACTCTAAAAAAATTCAGTGTTGGGTTTGCCTCCCTAAATCCTGGGATCTGCCCTAATGACATCTTTCAGGACTGCCCAATTTCCATGTTGTCCAAATACTTGATGGGCTGCTTTTCTCCACAATCTTTCTAGCTTACTCTCCAAAATTCTCTCAAGCTGCACCTCTGCTGCCAATGGGTTTGGCTCCTTCGCAGGACATTGTGGGGGACGGCAGCTGGACTGCTGCTAACCTGGCATTGGTTGAAGACATTGACCTTGACAAATTCCCAGTGTACCCTTAAGATGGGAAGTTGTGTGTACTGAGTTTGGACATGTTTGCGGAACTTTCTCCCTCAAGATCCGGGGGGATGACCCCAGCCAGAAGCTGCTAAGTGTTACCCAATTAGAATGTGAAAAACAAGTGTTTGACCTATACGCAAAGGCCACGCTACCTTCTTCTAGCACCTTCGACTATGTATAAAAGGCACACCCTTTGTGTAATAAAGGAGCCATTTTTGAGCCATTCTAATACCATTCAGTTGTGTCGTGTCTGTCTCTACAACGACAGGACATGGCTCCTCTTTCACCTTGAGTCTGAAGGCAATTATACTTGAATGTTCTTCTTACGTGCTGTTGAACTGCAAGTCTCTATCTCCTCTACAGGCATTACAGGCTGCTGGGCTTCTAACTGAAGTTGCAAATTTGCTTTTTTAATTAAAACACTCTGCCATTTAATTAAATTAATTTAAAGGACTTTAAGACAGCTAAAAACAAATGGTTTTTTTCATTATCAAAACAATTGTCTTATGGAAGAAGAAAGAAAAAGCAGAGGGAGAAACAAAGTATTTCACTGGGGTCAACTTCTCCATCATTAATTCCTCTTCCACAATGAAGCAGCATGCTCTTCAATGAGAGTTATCTGTCTCCGGCATTTCTTGAATTAGCTATAGTCTGGTGAAAGAACATGGAAGAGACTCCCAAAAATCTTATTTTCAAGAAGGAAATATAGAATGGTGCACTGTATTGTTCAACTGACTGGACGCTTGTCAAAGGTCTCATCAGAAAGTAAAAATATTCACACAAAGCCTTTAAAGCTGCAATGTATGGTCCTCTAATTTTAAGCTGAAAGTTCATGTTATTTGAATAGAATTTAGCCTCACACAGGAATACCATCACATGGAGCTTGGGACCAGTTTTATGCGAAAACAGAGACAACACCCTTGTAGATGGAGCAGAACGCATTTGCAGAGAATTTGCAAAAGGTAATTTTTTCTTGTATTTTTCTTATATTCCCTCCTTGACTCAATTTTTTCCTACACCGGCTTACCTGAGAATACAGAGGCAGACCTTGCCTCCTGACGTCAAACGGCAAAATCCAAACCTTTGCTTACTTTCAATGTCGGTGAGCACGAAGGTAAAATGCTGTCCTACTTGGTTTTGCGACACCCTGAAAAATTAAGACACAGAGCATAAACCCGCTAAATCACAACAAAACACGAGCATTTAAGTCATCGGTCTCGAGCATTTTCATGCCCAAGCCTCACTATCCTTTCTCTCCCCTCCCACCAGCCAGGAAAGCCTCTTGAACCCAGGGCTCCTTCCTTCAGCCGTGCCCCCGCTGCCGTCCCAGCCCAGTGCTCCGGCAGACGGGATCCAGCTGACCCAGTCCCCATCTGAATGGACGGGGCATGGAATAAGGGAATGGAATAAGACCTACGTAGAGCCAGTACAAACCTCCCACGGCTTTTTGGCTTTGAGCATACCTCGGATCTGGAAACCAACAAACCGTACCTGGGGTTTACTCACAGAAAGACTGACTGTGCTTTTCCAAAATCTCCCAGAGAAAAAAAAGAAAAAAAAAACACACCAAAACCAAACAGCTTCAGGTAGACTTGGCATTTTCAGCCAGAAGAGGTAATGTGTGGCACAGAATGAATCATAGAATGGTTTGGGTCGGGAGGGTACTTTGAAAATTTAATTAAAATCAAATGAAAACTAAGTTATGATGGAGACTGCACAGAGATTTGAAAACGTAAAATGCAGCAGTTCTGTCTGTAATTCTGTTTTCTGCTGTTCTTTCCCTTTCTTACACGATCTTCCACAGCAGAATACCCAGGTACCTGCTGGGAAGCACTACGATTAACGTGTTGTGTGGTTCAATCTTAGATGCTAAGCTGAAAATGAATACTCAGAAAAGTTGAGAACCATCACCGATCTCAGCCTTCCATGCTAACAGCACAGGATATTTTTTAATTTAATCCCTTCAATATGGGGGGGGGTTGTTGTGGGTTTGGTTTTTTTCTAAATCTCCACCAAAATAAAATATAAAAATCTTCCCATAGGGAAGAACAAAGTAGCAGATGATCAGAGAGCGAGACAAGTTACATGGGACACAGGCACATAATACTGCTTAACGCACGCGTGGCAACACCTTAAAGATTAGTGAAGCGATAACCCAACCCAGAACTTTTAGTCTCCTCCTCATTTCCATTTGGTCTAGTCCCTCCTAAACATACAGGGTCTTAGCTGAAACAAAAACCTGTGCCGAGCATATACAAGGTAAGAAGACACATTTAGTCCAATATAATCACTGGAAACCCACGACAAGAGTAAACACTCAATGGCTTTCGCTCAGTCCTTCACTTTTCAGGTTCTGCATAACTCGCATGCTGCCTGGATATTACGACAAAGAGCCATCAACAACGATGCAATCTTCTATTTCACACCTTGGCATTTTCCTCGATTCCCGAGAGCAGATCACCACCGAACCCAGCGCGCACCGTGGCCGGGAGCTCAGCCAGCAGGAGCCGCTCAGCCCCAGGCAGCAACCTCGGCCGAAAAATAACCGAGAGTGCAAATTAAATGTATGTAAAGATGGCACTACACAAGACCACTTTAAGAATGAGATTTAAATTCTGGTATTCTCTATTAAAAATAGCCCAGCCAAGTTATGACAGCTCAGCAGGAGGCATTTCCAGTGCCATCTTCACCGCCTCCCTTTGCTTCTTTAAGAGAGAGAACTCCATGTTTCGACAGTCAGTGTAAAAGTGGCCCAGCTTGAAAACTGCTTCCCACAGAGTTTAGAAGAAGATGTAAACAGCATGTTAAGAGATTTTCAAACTGAGAAAAACTCCAAGGCTAAAACTGAATCTCTGCAAAAAAACACCCCAAAAGTTTGGTCCCACTTGCTAAAAAGGAACAGCTAAAAGAAGCCAGTGACCGTCCATCTGGAGCATGTTTTCTGATCAGTTTAAAATACTGAATTAATTCTAGGTTTTTAATTTAAGAAGTCCACTTAAGACGTGGGAGCAGCAAGGAAGCCTGGTTTTCTTACTCCTCTTCAGCAGCATTAAAACTGTAAGCCTACATGTAAGCCTCAGAAACAAGCCATCTATGACTGAGGACTCCTATGTATCAACCCATAACCACAACTTACAAACCAGACACACAAAACATTCTATCACCATTCTATCACTTCTATCAGTATATATATGTACGCATGTACCATCACGTGGGCAACGCCGGCTGTGCACCTTGGGGCTTGTGCCTCTGTTTCACTGCAGAGCATCTATCGGCGCGCAGGATCAACTCGCCAAGCCTCAAAAACTTTCTGCAAAATGCAGGTCTAGCTGGCTATTTGAAAAAAATACCATGTACTCATTTGTTGCGGGGAGAAGAGGCACAAATCCCTCCTAACCATCACTGACCTTCCCCTCAATCACTCCTCTGCGTTGATTTTGACTTACTTGCAACTCTTGCCCTGCATTGCTTACTTCTAATCTTAGTTTAAGAAAAATAAATCACTAATAGCAAAGAATGTGTGTAAATACTTATTAACGCTGCAGACTACAAAGGGCTCTTTCAAGGTTATTACAGTTCACTATAGGAATAGAAGTAGTCATTAAAATTTTCAAAGTACACCATTTTCTACACAATGCAGAAAAGGCTCTTTGGTCCCCATGAAGTAGGTAAAGAGTCGTTTTAAAGATTTTTCTTCACGCTATCGCCATTGTTCAGGCCTTATATTAACGCTGCCTTCAGAGAGCTGACTGGCAGGAATTAAATCTCCTCTTGGAACAAAAGCCAGCATGTCTAATCATTAAATTTACCCCTCGTCCTCAGTAAGAATTGCTCTTCTTCCACATTAATCTGTTCAGGATACAGAAGATGTTTGAAATTATTTTTTCTTCAAATTTTAACCATTTCTAGAGGGTTCTGAATTTTTGCCAGATTTTTCGGAGAGTTCATTTTCTCAGTAAGTTTCAAATAATGAAAAACTTCATGCACAGGAATACAGATTTTGATGACTTATTTTTAAAAGAAAACAAAGTTACTGGTACTATCAGCTACAAGGTGTCACATACACATACCTGACCAATCTAACTAAAGTACACAGCTCCAAATAAAGTTTGGCAGCTGCTTCCTAAACCCGAAAATCACAAATGCATTTTGTCTCCCAACTCGATGCTGAAAAGCAACCACCACCAGTCATTCACTCTATTTCTGCCCAGATCAGAGAATAGATTAGAAACTGTTTCAAGCAGGAATTTAAAAACCAGATGAAGGCAGTGGTACAAGCTGATGAGACAGTAACCCTAAGTAACCCTAGGTTGGCCTGTCTCCTTCAACTAAGTGCTAATCCTAAATCGAAACTTCAGGAACTATTTTCTCTGCTTCCAAGCCCACCTCATGATCCACGACTCCACTGCTCAGGCTCCCCTGCTCCAGCTGAGCTGTCTGACTTGAGCTCTGCTTCCCAGAAACTCCAACCCCTCACGCGCCGGAAAGAAAAGGAACAGGAAGAAAGAAGAGAGGAACATGTACAAAGCTACCCCCAAGTAAGATGTCTCCTACACATAACAAGTATAGTTAGCTCATAACTGGGGTTACACTTTCAAAATAATAAAACATTAAAAAAAACCAAAAACAAACAAGCCCACAACTAGTTAGTAAAGAGTCTCACTGGGTGTATTTAAGTTGCCTGCTCTGTCTGGGCACCCTGGCCATGATACCTGGCCAAGGGTCCATGGGAGCACGCCGTGGCTCCCTCGGCGTGCCCATGTTTCCTCTCAGATGGGGCAACTTCTGTGCACACATGGAAACCAAATGACCCAGGCTGAAAAACAAATAGTTACACTTTTCCATAGTGCAGAGCGCTCGCTGCAGCCTGTCGTTATAAAGACTCCTCTCTTCCACATACATGCGATATTACGCACACACGCGCCATGAGATAACAGATGAAAAGAACTCCATCGCATAAAACTGTTGTTGCATTTTGGAGTTCCCAGCCCATCTTGCAAATTACTGAAACGACCAAAGCATACAGCAAATAGCATAGTTTATTTATCTTCCTCTGTACAGCTCGCAATACATTCTCAGTTATTTAGTTTTCATTCCCAAGTACTTACTTTGGGCGTAAAAATTTTTGTGTAAGATACCTTATAACTGCCTTTCACAAGATGTGCAAATCCAACGATCTCTACAGCCAATGTTTCGCACTTGTCTTGACAACAGCACACAGACTTTCACCAGAATAAAAACCAACAGAAACAGCATTAGCCAGGAATGGGAGAGCAAAAGTGATGTCACTCCTGCCATCATTGACCCTAACAGATTATGAGTTAAATAATATGCACAGTAATTTCCGTACTCGAGCAATATCCTACCGCTAATGAGAAACCTCCTGCAGCAGCAGCACTTCTTCCACGCCAAAATATAACACTTCCCTGCAATCGGGCAAGCGCTGTAGGGGAAATTAATGAGGTACCTATCACTGTCTCCGTGCTGATCCTACAGGCAGTTTGCAAAGCTAAAAAGACACATGCACTACACATTCAGAAGAAATGCATCCTGAAAGGGAAAACACAGAGGAACGGAAGGAGAAAAGGGAAGTATTTACAGCAGAGACAAGTGAGAGAGATTCAAAGCACAGATAAAACTTGAGGGTCAAGCAGTGATGTAGCACAGCTTAGGGCTGAATTTGAAATAGGTCCAAGAAGGAGAAAGGGAAGACGACGCACGCTCAGCAGTCACCACCCAGCTAAACCATGGATGTAAAGACTGAGGTGTGGGCTCTCTGCAGAGTTACACGCGAGTTCTGGGTCAAGAGCGAAAATATGGAAGACCTCTAGAGAAAGAAAAGAAGAAAACCACACAGAACTTGCACATAGGATTCAAGGAAGGAGAGAGAGGACGAAATGCCTTTTCTAGTGTATTAATGTTAGTTTAGAAAACATTAAAAGGAAATTAAAATCTGTGCATTCTCAAACGTTAAATCCTCCTATTGCATATGAGAAGAAATGGAGAAAAGAATTCTGTTTCAGAGAAAAGGGAACTTATTCATAAATATGTACAAGTAAACCGTTAGAATGTTATACAATTGTGCCGCTTATTTCGCCTAAAGTAAGTTATTCACCAAAAAGGTGCATGGGTTCCTGGAGTAAACACTCAAGAACTTCTATGATGCAATTCATCTCTTAACTCCTTTAAAATAAAATGTAAGCCATAATCAGCAGTAATGAAATTAAATGCTTACTTTCAATAAAAAAATTATAGAAAAAACTCTCAGTTATATTCAAAACATTACACCATCGTGCGGTTTTTTTGGCTTGACTTTAGGTTTAAATTTAATGGGAGATACCTGCAGATTTTTAACTGCCATTCCCAGTATGTACTTATTATAATTAGAATGAGTAGTGTACAGCTATTTATAACATCTGCATAAAAGATGAAGTATGTCTGGTGAGATGATCTAAGCAGCATCCAGTAGTGAGAATTAGATCTGGATCTTTGTCTATGATCACTGTAGCACCATGAATGAAACAAAATCAAATATGTGTTCTCATTTCATTCACTTCTCAGTTCATTTGACAATTAATACAGGTGAGCTGGAAGAAAACAGGTGATGATGGTCTTAAAGCACTGTTAAAGCACAGTGGTTAGATTTCCTATTTTTATTGAGTTTTATTTAGCTAGTTAACAGAAAAGACACTGCATTCCCTCCAACTTTGCTGTGTAGTAGGAATCCAGAAGCAATCTATGGAACAGAGCCACATTTTCTGTTCTAGGTATCTTGATCAGCAGCATCAGGGGAAGTTCTCAGCATCAGGGGAAGTTCTCACTTTTTGCACTGGTAATTTCTACACTTACTAGGAGCAGCTATTGCTTGAAGTGGCTTATATGTGTATAGTATACCTAATACAGGTGGAGAAACTACACTCTCTAAAGTACAACACTCTCAATCAATGAAACAGATACTTTGTGTTTCACTTCAGTCAAAGCTTTCTGTACAAAAGTTGTCATTGAAACGATCATGATCCTCTATACAAACAAACAAGCAAACAAACAAACAAACAAATAAATAAATAAATATTCACCAGGCAAGTGAAAAGCACATTTATGGCTAGACAAAACCAAAAATACTTGTCACACCTTAAATGACCATTGGAAAAAAGCCACATAAAAATGAGCTACAGCAGCGGTGAAATCCTTCCAACAGTTCAAATTTCAAACCAAAACAAAACTGAGAAAGAAGACAACAACTGGTTTTCTTTTGAGAAAGTGGCAATGTATGTCTACATTATAGAAAACGCTCGAACTGAGAAGTAAATGGTAAATACACCAGGCAGCCAGGAAGCTGTTCACACAAGCAGCTTGCCAGGAAACAGTCTCCTGCTTTCTTCAACGAGCTTCCAGTATTTCTGTCCTTTTCCCCACAATAGCCCGGCCCCTCCTCCTTGGCCACGCTCTTCGCTACTCATGATCCTGCATTGCCTTTGGTTCTCCCACAAATCCCCTTAAACCCAGCTCCCAGCTACACAAGAAGCTGCGAGTGCAGCGGCCGATTTTAAAGACACCGCGGTACCGCCCGGGCAGTCAGCACACGTTGGGTTTGGTCTCGTCAGTACATCCCAGCTTCCAGCAACCCCTCCTCCCTCCGTCCAGCTGCTAATTTTTATGAAATTTGTAGAAATTTCACATCCTTGAGAGCTCTGCTTTACAGTCAAGTATAAGGCCAAGAGTCAAAAAAGAATGTCTGGGGCGGGGGGCACAGGAGGGGATTAACAGACAAACAATGGACATTTCATAACTTTTTTTTCCTTTCTCTTTTTCCTCTCCTTCAGAAACTCAGCTGTAATACCTACCTACACTATAAATTCATGTATTCCCAGTTTTGTGACTAAGCCTATCCATCTCACACAAGCAGCTAAGTGTCTTCTGGATGGTTCAACAGCAATAATTAATGCAAGACGAGTTACTTCCAAATAATTATTTGCTGCCACTGATTATCTTTTTGCCACTGGATGGCAGCAACAGAACCTCACCTTTTTCTGCTGTCCTCAAATTTTATTTCCATTATTCATCTTCATTACCAATTTTAAACAGAAATCTGTACATATCTTAAGCACATTAAAGACTTTAATGCTCTAAAGCCAACACTGACAACCGTATTAGTTAAGTCATTAAAACAGCTTAAAGGACAGTGAGATTAACCAGTTCAAACCCCAAACAACTTAATTAAATTCAACTATAAAAGACTAAATGAACCTAGTTTTACTTCAGGGAACTTCTGTTTATGACGATCTTGATTTTGCCAGTGTGTTTTTTTTCTGCAAAGCCTCTCTTCCTTCCTCCATACACACACCAGCTTCTACTCCACTTGTATCCAACAGCGGCTTCTCGTCTTTGAGTTTCCATCTACAACCAATGTCAATGTTGTTCTGAAAAGAGCTCAGCCTGCACACTACCTGGGGTGGTTTTTTTTGATTAATTTTTTTGATTAATTATGCAAATCAAGCTTCTAATTCAATCTTTGCTGATTTGGACAACACGAGTTTTCCAAACTGAGTGAGTACAATTTATTAAATTAATTAGTATTAATCATTTTGACAAGCCTAAATAAGTATTTTAATTAGTAAAAAGGTTTTCTAGGAACAATTTCAATGATGGGCAGTGTTACACGGAAGACACACTATCACTGTTTCCAGAAAGATAAGGGCTAATTAATTATAAATAATGGTCTTGATTCTTCTCTGAGAAAAATCAATTGCATATTCAGTTACCTCCATGCAATTAAAGTATTAATCTCTTTGAACCCAAAAACCGTATTTTCTGTACTGTTCAGCGAGATTTTTTTTCTCCTGGTGCACTGTAACGTTTTTTATGATACTCGCTGTGTGAAGGAAACTGTGTTATATCCTTATATTAACACAGATGGTGTTTACAATCATAACGGACAAAACCAGGAGCCGGAATGGAGGTCTATCTCGAAAGAGATATTCCCAAAATTCTGTACAGCTGCATTTTGCTGTAATTATTTGCTACCAGTGGTTTCATACTTACTTGAGCACGAAAGGATATGTATTTCTCATCTGCAGGTGCGAGTTTAGGGAGTACAGTGTGTTTTCCTTTTCTTTAAATCTTTCCTTGCAATTCTGCTGAATATCATTTTCTTTGAAATATTTTAAAATAAATAAAAAAAAAACGTATCACATACCTTTCCACGTCAAAAGGAAAGCAGAACTTCGGGACGCTGTTCAGCACTTCCTGTAAACATAAGCAAAAGAAATCAAGTTAGGATTTTTGTAAAGGCTTTTGAAAAGCTTTTAGGGCAGTTGCTAGCAGCTACGGCTCGCCTTTAAAAAAATATCCAAAAATACTCCTAAGAAATAACAAGTTTGAGGAATACACGATTGCAAAAAATACAGCACACGTTCCTGGAATGAAATAATTGATTATTAAAAAGGAATTAAGTTTGTGCTTTGGCAGATTGCAAAGACAATGCCATAGAAGCCCCAGGAGGGAAAGGCCTGGCCTGAAGGGTATTAACACCCTTCACATCCCCGCTGGGATTCCCTTCAACAAGGCCATATGGATTTTACAAGAAGCACCACACCATATGGGTAAGCCACGTCTGCTGCTACTTGTACCACAGACTAGCCACAGGGACTTCTGACAGATCCTGGCTCAAAAATACAAATGTTGTTTGAATTAAAATGCAGGCAGAGAAAAGGGAATGAAGTTGGCAGCAGAATGAATCGCAGAGAGGTGTAACAACCCTATACATGTTCCCGAGTCAAATGCTGAAAATGATGGAAATCGTCTGCTGGTCCAAAGGAGAAATTTATATGATTAACTCTTTGGGTTTCACAAGCAAGCCTTGCTATTAATAAAGGGAAAGGGGGGGAACTCACCGGATCTACATTCGTACCGTAATAGGAAAGGATAACATCGTTCTTTCTTTGCAGAATTTTATTTAAGAAGTTGTTTAGTGGCAAATAAAATGTGTTAATTAAAATATAAAAATCCTCTCAAACTCGTCAACATTTTGCTTTTAAAAAAAGTGAATTACCAGATCAGTTCACAGCAAATATTAAACACGGGTTTTACAAGATCCCAGAAAAGCAGGTTTTATTTCCTTGCTCCCAACTGGGAAAGCAAAGCCTCTGTGAAATGCTTCAGCTGAGAAGAGACAGTCGACATCAATGTAGTTGGTCAAAGCTACAGAATTCCCTTTTTGTAGCGGACCAACAGACACGTACCGCTGTACACACGAGTTATCCCAGAAGGCACGTGTTTTCAGAAAAATGCCTATCGATTGCAGATTTCCAGAGCTGCAGATGGGGGTTTAAGCACATGATCTAAGACATTAGCACTCTCCAGCCTGAACTCTCTGTCTACAGCACGTTGAACAGTCAACTCCCATTAGGGGAAATTATGTATTTAAATTCCTACACACTACAATGACTATTTATTTCAAACATTCGCCTGGCTCAGTGGATAGTGTAAAACATGAAGAACCCATGCGCGTTAATCAGCAAGGGAGGGATAGTTCGGGAAAAAGAAGCCTCCGAGTACAGCACGTGTACGTTAGTTGCAACATTTTAAAGGTATATGATGTGCCCCAGTAAATCATCACGCAGTACAAAATGGAAAACTCAACTTTTTCTAGAGTTTTTAGGTCACACGGGAGAGTTCAAGAAATCTTTGGAACTTTTAGTTTGTCAGCACAGATAGCGAAGGGCATGAAACCCACACACTGCGATTTGGGAAAGCTTATTACTTAATTATAAACAAAAGCGGTACATATAATATTCTCCAAACGAAACTGCTCGAGCACCATCCTGAACCACTGCGAGTGGCCTCTGCAGAAGGGTGAGGAGTAAAATACTAACAGGGCAGGTAAATATTTGAATTTCTAGGTAAACATTTGAATTTCTACAGGCAGGAAACAAGCATACACAATGTCAGCATAGTAATAATAAGCTCTAGGAAAAGAAAGCAACAGAATGGGCTATCTGAAACTTTTAATTCAGTCATTCCTTCAACATTTCCCAATAGTTCAGGCTCATAAAGCTTGTTTTTCGCCAAGAAATATTATTTTATACTATTTATACTATCTACACCTCTTCTCACACTACAGGAAGTCATTTTTTTCCTCACCACTGAGGATTTTAATTGCTGCCTGGCGAGCTTCGCGTCGACTCAGAATTGGGTATGGAAATATATTCATTTATGTTCCCCATTGTATCCTCTCAGCATAAATTATCGCGCAAGAAAAAGAAAAAACAAAACCCAAGAAAACCAAAAGGTACTAGCTCAATATTTTGACTTGACAACCTGAAAATTACGGGTGTGTTTTGTGGCTTTTTTTCCAGGCTGGGCTGCAGGACAGGGTTTTCCCTGGCTCTGGCTCCGTCCCTCCCCCAGCACACGTGCGCACAACTTCTGCGGAGCAGCCTCAGCTCGCTTCCCAACTGGCAGGAGCATCCCTCGGGGGACAAGTCTTTAAACCTCCGCACTCTTTAAAATTCAACCAGCCAGCAGGTCTATAGACTGGTGTATAAACAAAAAAAAAAAAATTAAAAAAAATCCTCTCTCAGCTTATGTCAGTGACAAAGCGGCTCAGCAGTTGACTGCTGCTCCCCTGACAGCGTAAGCTGGGTTTACACAGATCAATAGATGGAAGTCCCACCTAGCTTCCAGGGCTCAGTTTTCTCCCTTAATTACAGGTGTTATTCATATTTTTAAAATGGAAGAAAACAAGACGCCCCCAAGACGCTCCTAGATGAATTTAAAACGCAAATGGCACCACATACACACTCACGTACACAGTCACTACACGAGCACGACTGCAGTTGATACTTTCAGCAGTGACCTCTGTATTGCATAAAATGTGAGCTCTGGCTCCTAACGGGTCATCAGCATCAAGGATCCATGACTAGCCAGGACCATCTTGAGCCAATATGCACGCTCCCAGGAAAAAAGAAAAATACGGTGCCTTCTATTTTCATAGCTTTCTAAAAGCATGTGGTTATTTCTGAAGACAAAAGATTGTGCAAGTCTTCAGAAAGCAAAATATCCTCAATTCACGTGTCCCATGATTATTTCCTCCTCTGGTTCTTCATGCTCTTTGTGGTTTCAGAAACGGTCACTGCATCATAAAGGAAAGAAATTGCATACAAGGGGAAAAATGATAATGATATCGTGAAGGTTAAAAAGAAGTGTATCTATTTGCTTTCAAACACCAAATAAACATCTACAGTTGCATACACAATTGAGTTTAATTGCTAAATTAAAGGATAACTAACTCCAAGATATACTATCTCCTCGCTCCAAGAGAAAAAGAAAATTATAAAAATGTCATGTGAATGACAGCACGCTGCTTCCATCACAAAAAGCTTAAACCGAAATGGAAATGGTGTTTATGAAACTATTTCCTTTACACCTATAGTACAGCAGTAGAATATTGCGTTCGCACAGGTGCATGGTGCAGTGGTTTTATTAATTCACTTTTTTCAAACACACTACTCAACTCCAGCTTGGCCATACTCACTGGGCTCTACACTGAGATGATATTACAGAAGTCTAAAAAGTAAGAATTATTTACCGTTCTTTGCTTATTCTGATACCCATACAGTTAACTCCGTGTATCATCACTTTATAAAGCAACATAAACGGTGGTAGAAGAAGCTTCTGACCTCATACAAGCAAGCTTTTTGGAAAAAAGCTTGTGATAATTCGCAACCTTGCCCTTAAAGGAAAATGACTGGTTAAATACTTTGGAAAGATAGGATTTACTTTTTTAATAACATCACAGTCAATTGATATAAGCCTATGAAACCTTTACAGCTACTCGGTATACACGGTAGAGCACAGTGATTTGGGAGGATACTTGTTTCTTCGCCCACTTGAACAACACACGACATGATCTCACTACAGCTGGAAGGGGGCCCAGAAGCTGCTTCTATGAGAAGATTGCACCAGATTTGATATATCTTACAGAATCAGCTTTTTAATGTATCTCTACACAGGTACGAGTAGGGTTTTTTACTTATGCATTTCAACCAATGACCCTTTTCTATGTAGACGATGCCTGATGACTTTAAGAATCAACAGAAATTAAGTTCACCACTTACTATTATGCTACCAAAATATTTAAATACTAAAGCTTAACCTGATAAATTTTGGAGGTTAGAAGGATGTGGGAACTGAACTATTCACCCCACCATTTTTTTGTCTCATTATAACACAGTCTGCAGTTTGCATCTAAGTGGGGAGGGAAAAGAACCTGATTTTTTCCAAGTGCATAAGCCAAAGAAATATCAATTAGAGGAGCACAAACAAACGGTCATCCACTTAGCTACAGAAGGCTTTTGCACTTCCCCTCCCCGTCACTACCCTTATTTCAGCTGTTTTCTTTCTCAATAACAATATTTTTCTAGCTTTTGCCTTTCTCTTACTTCTCTAGCGTATTTTCATGAAGAACTTTGCCCTGTCCCTTTTCACTGAAAGGGAGAATTCTCTTTTTTGTCAGCCTTTTATGTTTGTCATACTACTTTATTAATAGAGTCTCCTTTTTTCCCTCCTTGGTGAGGAAAGCCACTTGCTATTCTGTATTAGTATTTCATCTAATTGTCTTTCAAAACTCTTATATTTTCTTGCTGCTAGAACTTCCTCTCTCTACTAACCTCTCTTTAAATGTCTTCTCTACCTGACTGCAGGTCTGCCTTTTGGTTCTTCTTATCAGTTCTCCCTACTCCATTCTCCAAGCCCCACATCCTCTCTTCAGCACTCGTAGCCCAACCTGCTCTCCCACCTTTTCCAGAGTCTTCAGTCATCCTGTGCCAGCCCAACCATACAAACTGGAGACCTACTCAAGACTGTCACGACAGGTATTTCAAACCAGTGACATCAGTGGGAATATTCAAATGCTTAAAGTTAAGCTCAGATTTAGGTTCATTCTTAAATCAAAGCCAGGCTGCTTAGCGTCTTGCCGTGGTGAGCCCTTCATCATTATGGCTCAGCAAAGGTGAAATTCTAATGCTGCCACATAAAACAGCCGAGGAAAAGGACAGCTCTGTCCTCACCACTGACGCGTCCTTTTTCTTCCTCTGAAGCCGTGTGCACCCACAGCAGGGACCCACGCGGAGCCAGCAGCAGTAGTTGTATTTCAAAGACTTAGCTCTTACCTCTGCTAAAACTCTCATCAGAAATTTGTGGCTACAATAAAGACATTATCAGACGTCCATAATTATTTTAACCTC